TAAGTCTGTCCTTCCTTAACAGATGAACTATCCACAGAAGGAAGGAGAATCTGTCTCTTAAGTAGGTTGATGAGTTAAAGTTTTAGAGTCAAAAGAGGGTTGGACTGAGTTAGGAAGCAGAACAGGGTCTTTCTGATTTGTATAGGGTAGAAGTGAGTGCCTGCCATGGAGGGTCGATTTTCAAGGCTTGTTTATTCCTTCCTTGAACGTTCCATTAACACCAAACCTTCCCTACTACCATGTGCAGGAGCCCTTGATCTCAGACCCCATGTCTCTGGAAAGCTCCCAGAATTCAGCTTGGTCCCTGGTTTTCAGTTGTCTTGCTAAAACCTCCTGTCTAGATTTGCCTGAGAGTTTGGATAAAACATGGCAGGTTGGGTAGTCCTCCCTGTCCCTCCCATTCTAGTCCAAAGCATTTCTCACCCTCCATCTCCAGCCCCAGAAGGTAAAACCATCACTGAGGCAGGCTTCAGGGGCAGGCAGCGCCCCAGGTAACAGCTTGGGACAGACAACATGGCTACTCCTGGATCTTTATGCATGAAGATTATGTAAAGGTTTTTATTAAATATATATATATATAAATAAATGATCTAGATTATTTTCCTCTTTTTCTGAAGCTACTTTCTTAAAAAAAATAAATAAAATGAAATGTTTATAGCATTCGTGGTATTTTATTGGCTTTCCCTTTGTTGGTGGTTTTTGGGCTTGGGGTTTTTTTTGTTTAATTCTCACTTGATATTTTTTCCATTGATTTTTAGAAAGAGTGGAGGGGTGGGGGGGAGAAACATCGATTTGAAAGAAACACATCAATTGCTTGCCTCCTGCATGTACCCTGACCAAGACGAGGGACAAACCTGCAACCCAGGTACATGCCCTTTACTGGGAATCGAACCTGCAACCCTTAGGTCTTCTGGCCAATGCTCTAATCACTAAGCTATGCTGTCCAGGGCCCGTTTGTGGTTTTGAGCCTTCTTGCCCCAAGGAGTATTATGGTAGCCTTGTTTGCTTTGCAATCTAAAGGACGACTGACCATTGGTTGAAGAGAGAACAGTTTGGTACTAAACAGACACAGAGTAGGTTTATAAGGGCAAGTTTAGGGGTGAAGGAGTGAGATTGCTGATTAATCCTGGCTGCTGTACATATATTTATATGCCTGGATTCCCAGTGGAGGATATGGGAGCTGTCTCAAATTGCCCAGTGGCATATACTTAACATTCAAGACTTCCTTGTTCTGCTTTGGGGGATTTGTTTGTTTTAAACCTTGGGTCACACTTCTAATTCTCAGTTTTCATTGTGTAAAGTGGATAATGATCCCTGATGTTACCACTTCACAGGACTGTTTTGCAAGGAATTAGATGAGGCTGATAAGTACTATTTAAGTGTTCGGAATTGGTGTGGTTGTGGGAATGCAAAATGGTATAGCAAGAATATATAACAATTACAAACATGCACCTAATGACAGACAAGTGCACATGGGACATTCTCCAGGTTACCCATACCTTAGGCCACAGATGAAGTCTCTATAGATTTTAAAAAGGTAGTTATACAAAGCATCATTTCTGATCACAACGGGATGAAGTTAAAAATCAGCAACAGAAGTAAAACTGGGAAATTCACACATTTGTAGAAATTAATATATTCAACCAGTGGAACAAAGACAAAACCACAAGAGAAATTGGTATGTAAAGCACAGAACACAACATGCCAAACACAGTGATAGTGGTATTAAGGGAAAAATTTAGAGCTATTTAATGCTTACATTAAATAAGAATGAAGCCCTGGCCAGGTAGCTCAGTTAGAGCATCATCCTGATATGCCAAGGTTGTGGGTTTGATCCTCAATTCTGGCACATACAAGAATCAACCAATGAATGTATAAATAAGTGGAACAAAAAATCAATGTTTCTCTTTCCCCCCTCCCTCTCTCTAAAATCAATCAAATTAAAAGTCAGTTGAGTTAAAGGCAACCCAAAGAATGGAAGAAAATATGTGTAAATTATGTATCTGATAAGGGATTAATATCTAGAATATATAGAGAAGAGTTAGAACTCAACAACAAAAATATAACCCAAATGAAAAAAACGGTATCTGAGTAGACATTTCTCCAAAAACGATACAGAGATGGTCAATAAGCATGTGAAAAGATGCTGAACATCACCAATCATTAGGAAAATGCAAATCAAAACCACAGTGAGATACCACTCCACAGCCATTAGGATGGCTGCTATCAAAAACTCAGAAAATGAATGTTGGTGAGGATATGGAAAAATTGGAACCCTTGTGCATTGCTGATGGGAATACAAAAAGGTACAGTTGCTACATAAAATGGTATGGAGATCCCTCAAAAAGTTAATAGAATTACTGCCCAATTCAACCTAGGATCTAGGAGATCTTGATTCGATTCCTGGTCAGGGCACATGCCCAGGTTGCAGGCTCAGTCCCCAGTAAGGGGCATGCTGGGGGCAGCCGATCAATGATGACACTCATCATAGATGTTTCAAGTCTCTCCACCCTTTCTCTGAAATCAATAACGATATATTAAATATATATATATAGAATTACCACCCTGGCCTGATAGCTCAGTTAGTTAGAGCATCATCCCCATAGCCAACGTTGCGGGTCCGATGCCTGGTCAAGGCACATACAAGAATCAACCAATGACTGCATAAGTAAGTGGAACAACAAATTGATGTTTCTCTCCTTTTCCCTCTAAAATAAATTTAAAAAATTTTTCTCTCAATTTTTTTTAACTGAAGAGTCCAATGCTGGACCTCTTTTAAAAAAATAAAAAGAAAAAATAAGAGAATAACGATATGATCCACTTCTGGGTATAGACTCGAACTGAAAGTAGTCTCAAAGAGATACACACCCATGTTCACAACATTATTCACAATAGCTAAAATGTGGTAGCAACCTAAGTGTCCATCAATGGATAGGCAAAATGCAGTAAAAACAGAACACTATTCAACCTTAAAAAGGAAGGAAATTATGACATGCTACAACATGGATGAACCTTAAGGACATTATGCGAAGTGAAATGAACCAGTCACAAAAAGACAAATGCTGTATGAGATATGTAGTCAAAATCATAGAGATAGTGGAATGGTGGTTGCCAGGGGCTGGGGGCTTGTGAATCTCAATGTGTGTTCCTGAAGATACCCTAACTCACTGTAGTGCAAATACTGTTGATTGTTACTGAGCATCAGGCAATGTGCTAGGCACTTGCCTTGTATTGTTGGGTGGTCTCATTTAATCCTAACAACTTTTGAAGTGAGGGCTGTTAATCTCATTATCCTGTTTGAGAAAACTGAACCCCAGAGTGTTTTAACATCTTGCCGTGGTCAGACAGCTCTAAGCTGAAAGTGACTCTAAATGTCTGTTTTCCCTGATACCCACTATGGCCCATGGTGTTTGGGCAGGGGAGAACACAGGCTCAGATTGGGGTGGCTGTGGGGACTCAGGCGAGGATGTGGGCTGCATTTCCTGCTTTAGTTGCCACCTGGAACAACATACGGCTTAGCACCACTCCCAGCAGGAATGGAGAGCTTGCTTGGCACCAAGCACCTGGACAGATGTGTTCAGTCCTTTCCTGGGTGGCAGAACTGGGAGAACAGTTACTATCCATAGGTTCTGGCCTCTAACACCCTTAAGCCCCAGTGTCCTACAGATCCTGAACCTGACATCTCTCTACCCTCCACCTTCAAGCTGGGCCTGAGCAGAGCCTGGGTGCTGCCTTACAGAAGTTGAATAATTCAGGTCCCAGTGGCCTGAGGTGTCAGTTTCTGTTGCTCTGTTCCCTTGGGCACAGGTGTAATTAAGCTAATGAAAAGGGCCAAGAGGAGAGGCCTGCTGTCCTGTGCCTCTGAGGGCTCAGGAACGATGGAGTCTCTTCCCCTGTCCTGCTGAGAATGCACCAGGCTCATCCCGAGCTTAGGTATGGGGAATGGAGGCA